AGCAAGTGTTCTTTGAGAAGCTCCAGTATGCCTGTGCTCTGGAGAAGAGACTTTGTGTTTGTATCAGATATATACCTCTTGCTTTTCTAACTGTCCCAAATCATGAATGGGAAAATTATAACCTTTCAGAAAACTCACATTCCTATACACAGTCAGATGGTTATTTCCTTGAGTTTACCAGTTAAATTTGCTGAAAATTCTGTATTTACAAAGTGCCACATCCTGTTCGCCAGTTATTGACCTGTCTGCATATTCACTCCCAACTGGAATAGCATTTTCTGACTCCAGTGTAGGAGGCAAAGTCTGACCGTTCCTGCCGTGTTGCTCCATTTCAGTCCAGAAAAGGTTAAAGCCAGGAATTAGAACCAGAGATAATTTTCTCTTGTGCTCATAGTCATATAGTTGCTGTTCCCTCCTACAATGAGTGATCTTACACTGTTCCCAGTCCAGATGCAGAAATTAAAAGTTATACTTGGAAATAAAGAAAGGAACAGAACAAACCAGAGAAGTTGACTGTTTTGAATGAGGATGAGTAAGAAGAATAGGATAAAAGGGACAAAGTTCATAGATGAGAAAAACTGTGACTAAGAAATAGGGATAACTGACTGGCAGTGAGCATGAGGTAAATGAACTAAAGGGGCTTCAAATCCAGATGGCTTGAAATCCAGAGGGAAGGTCAGACACTGACAAAGAGATGGAAGGATGAAAAGAAAGACAGTAGGGAAGACTCCAGGAAGTCTTCCCAGGTTCCCAAGTAGGAACTAGAAGTACTACAAGACCCAAAGACAACCTGGAAAATCTGAGACTCCAGTAGGAGTCTCATAGTAGGAACTACTACTACTCCATAACAGGAAGCATGGAAAGAAACAGTTGTGATGAAAAGGCAGGAGAAAGAGCTTAGGAAGACAAAGATCTGTGAGAAAGGAGAGACACTGGATGTTTATTGAGGACACATAGTGGGATAAGACATAAGCAGGCTGACACCAAATTATTCACTGCTGTTGCTGATCAAGGTTCTGGGACTGGGTCATCCCCCACCAGTCCTTTTCAAATCTCTCCCATTGTAGCTTTCGTTTTCAAATCTCCAGCTACCCTCCTAATTTCTAAGTAGGCATTCAGAGATGTGAAGAGAGCTAATCTGTAACCCACAAGCTACATAAACAAAGTAGACAAAGGTTGTAAGAGTAGAGAACTACTTTTTTTTTTTTTGTGGTCTCACAGCAGGTTAGTATCAAAATCAGGAACAGAATTAAGGCTCCTCTCTCCAAGTGCCCAGTTTCCTAGTCTGTGCCCTCTTGCTCTGCTTTCATGCAGTGTACAATATAGACGAATTGACAGAGAGGCTCCATTCCAAGAAAACACCAACATATGCAGGGAAATATAAATTCCTCTGCCTCAATTCTGAAGTAACTGGACACAAGACAAAAATCTCATCTGCATGCCATATAGACACTGCTATATAGTAGTTTGAGTACAACATCACCCTAATGGGCCTATAAGAAATAAGCTGTTTTGCATCTGGCCAGCTTGGAGCACTAGCAGAGCAATCCATAGATTCCTATCCACAAAGCCATATGTCTCTGAAAGCACTTCCTGCAACTACCTATCTGCATTGGAGTGAAGACTTCTGAGGTCCCGGGTCCAGTACATCTCTCATATTCTCTACTTATTTCATCTCTCTCACAACCAGCCATCTAGAGCATGGATAGGTGGGCATTTCCAACACAGACAGAGCAACTGAATGAATTCTTATTTCATGCTATTAGAATGAAAAGCTCTACAAGAGTTAGCTAGGCTTTGACAAATTGTTACCAGCCTTTTTGAATTACTAAGCCTTTATCAGTTTTCATTAGCAGTACAGTTGCAGCTTTGAACAGTGTCCTTGCTGCCTTAAAAAGAGAATAAAACTAAAAACAAGTTAATGAGCATAACTCAAGGGGTCATTCGTAAGGAATCCAACTCATCATTAACATTTTTTTTTACATATAAAAAATATATGTAGCTAGTTATTTCCCTAGTTTGCTTTCAGACTCCAAACAAGCACTGTGATTAATAATAATGAAGTGTTACCAACAGCAGTTGCTAAAAAGAAACTATGAAAATGGAGAGTGCAATGAAAAAATTGGTGTTTCTGTGTGGATATATGCAGGACATGTGGATATATTCACTGCTAAATGAAATAGCTGCAGGGGAGTTAAATGGGACTGCATGGAAGAGCAACTGATAGAAAACCTATACTTTACTGGAATACCTTACAAATTCTGGATGCTTGCAAGGTTCAGTTGACATCAGCAACATTAACTTCCATTTGCCAGGTAGTAGTATTTCACAATTCTTCTTTCTCAAAAGTGCCAAACCAAGAAAGGAAATACCAGCTACCTCTCTGTATTAATAGATGTATACACTCACAAGTCTATCCACCCAAAGGTTCAGTGGAGTGCTAGAGACCTGTCTCTACACAAACACATCTGTTGTTAGCATGTATCTTTTAAACATTTGCAGTCAAGTCTACCCACATTTTTTTAGAACAGTGGAGAACCTCTACAAAGAGAACTTTGACTCTGATAATGCTCTAGAGACTACCTGACATAAAATGCCACTTCTCTCTCCAACATTTCTAGTACATCTTTTAAATGTTCTCTGCTGTCTTATACTGTTCATCATAAAAGAGCAAATTTCCCAAGGCATCTACAAAAAAAAGAGATTTTAAAAAGAATGGGAAGCTTTTGACAGCCGATGCATAAAACTAGGGTTGTGGTTTTGCACAACATGATGACATAAAAAGACAGAAATCAGTTATACATACAGCAGGCACTGTTATTGTGCTGTAAAGTAATAAAAAAACCTTTATTGATTTTGGTTGATTAATTCTATCTTTAACTATAAGGTCAATAAAAGTTAGGATCAAAATCCAGACAAAATGTCTGCACTCTGCAGGCCTGTTTATTCTGAATAAAACTTAAGGAGGAGGTTCCATTAGTTATAGTGAGTGCACTGAAATGAGAAAGGGTTATAGAACAATGAACCCAATGGAAATAATTAACAAGTGAAGAAAAAATGAGCATTATGACCATGTTATGATGACATCTAAGACAAGAAAACTCTGATTAAGAAATAATAATAATAATAATAAAAGCTATTTGTCACAGAAGAATTCTAATGAACTTCAAACTGCTTGGGGTTGTTTTCATCATTTTCACAGCTTCTTCACAGATCCTAAATCTGAAACTCATAAGAATTAGTACTCTTCACCAGCATCCATCCAGCGGATCTTCAAGTCATGGCATGTTTATAAAGTCCATAATAATTAGCCTTCACTTGAAACTTGTTTTTTTATGGCATGCATTTTCTTAACCATTCTCCAACTTCCTCCATCTAGTACTGTAAGTCCTGAGGTCTCTTCTTTTACTCTTTTACTTTTCTTGGCTTAAACATAATGTTTTCCTGTCCTATAGAAGTACCAGGTATCTTTCTGCTGATAACAAGTGCAAAGACAGAAAGTGGCAAACACTTAAGCTAAAGAAAGCAGTGCAACAGAGAACAGCAGAATCACAGTTCAGCAAAGGCTGAACTCTAGCATGTGTAAAATCAGGATAGGGAGAAGTGATCACAGATGACTGAGATGAGAAAATCTATTTATTGGGTTAATTTCCTGCAGCCTAAGGTATTAAATTCCCACTACACTTATTTTTATCACAAAGACCCAAGCAACAAGGTAAAAGAACCTAACTGTGGCACAACATTCAGAAATAGGAATCTACAAGAATTTACCAGTCCACAGAGTCTAAATGGACAAGAATAAAGGGATATTTGGAGTACAGCCAAGTCTATAAACAAGTTATAAGGATAATTGCAGAAAGATCATGGTCTGGCAAAGAAGATGGTCATGGCAACAGAAGGCAGTAGTGTTTGATGAGGAAAACCAGAGAGTAAAGAAAAGAGAAACATTCCCACGCAGAGGAGGGAGAAGCTGAAGAAGGGTCTAATTTTATGTCCTTTTCAAATTTGCAATTATGTGGAAAAACAGTAGAAGGCAGCAATAAACACCTCTACTAACACGTCTAAAATTCATTTCCTGTAAGGAGAACATGAGTATTTTTAATTCTACCTCACTTTAAGTAAGTCTTTTGCAAGAGTAGAAAGATAATCTAACTTGCCATACAGCTGAAAATCTCCTAACTTTCTTAACAACTGAAATAACATTTCTTCTGGTTTGTACAAGATCAAAGCACATGATGGACTTCCTGCTAGGGAATATTGCTAAAAATGAAGATCAATTACATTCATTGAATCAAGAGTTGTTTATAAACCTGTTTTGAGAATTCATTGTTAGTTGACATTTTCTCTTTTTAAGGCTTGTTTTATTATTTCTGCCATGCTATTACTGCTGAAGACATTTTCTGCTTACTTGATAAGACAGTGTCTTCATCTATATACTGGCAAATGGAGTAATTGTGAAACTGAATTGTATATATAATTATGCTTAAACTGAAAGGTTGGGTAGAGCCACTCACTCTCCAATACTCCAGAATAACCTATTAGAACAACATGAGGAGGTGGTTAGATCTCCAGTCTTCAGTGTGCCCACTGGTACTCAATAGCAGTTAGAAGAGAAAAATAACGCTCCTTGTAAAAACAAATAGGAAAAATAATTTTCAAGATTAGATACCTCTAACTCTCTCCAGCATTCTTTTTCTACCCATCTTATACAAGCATCGTGTCCTAAAGCTTCTGAACTCAGTTAATCTCAGTTTCACGTTTCCTTCCTTACCCAGGGAAAACAAAGCCACATTTTGTTTTCTCTTTCTTCTAGGAAACACATTTTTTCTATGTTTTTTTTCTCAGTTTCCCATTAACCAAGCTGTACTATACCACCCTTTGCTACTTTCCACCTTTATCTGTCATATTTTGTGCTTCCAAATCAAGTTATAGGAAGATAAATCAGAATAAGAATTTGAGTACTTCAATCACTTTATGTAAAAGCAAATATTAACACTGACCTCTTTCATCTTTTCCAGTTCATTCTGTAGTGCCTGTTTTGCAATTTCAACTTCTATAAGCTGCTGTCTTAATTTTTCATTTTCATCTTCTGTCACGGTACGTTTTTCTTCCACGTTTTCTAATTCATGATGAAGTCTCACCGATACATCCTTTGCAACCTAAACAGTATAGCATTTCAAAAGAAAGAAAAGAAAAATAATTACTGCTACAGTACTAAGTGTCTAAGCAACCATTTACAGGTGATTATTAAAAAGTTTTATGAAAGCAGTATGTAAGAAAACACATATTCACAGATAGAATTCTGAATGATTCAAAATTCAGCCAATTTCTACAAAATATTTAATATTCTTCTCATGGACTTAATTGAAAAGCACATTAGACATCAAACCACTAAGCATTTTCTCAGGTTTCTTTATGTCAACAGTGAAACAGTATCTTCATTATTCTTAGAGGCAAGAAGCAGGTATTATCTCTCAAGCATTCCCAGTTTACTGTCCCCAGTGCACTGAGGAAGATGTCCTTCAAAAACGTAAGATGTTGAGGCGTCATGCAAAAGGGTCCGTATTCTCCAGACCTACTCTACCTATGCAATTGGAACACATTTTCAGTTCTGTCTGCCAGTGTCTCTCTCCTTCACACACGGTTATATACCAACACCTGGTATTTACTGGTATGGATTACTTTGGAGAGTAAAATAACAATCAAACCTTTCTACTGAGCTTTTTATTCACCCAAATAATGTGCAGTATTTTTAGATGAAGATGCTCACTAATATTTTTGCTTTATATTTTGAAAAGCATTTTCACAGAAACGGAGTTGAAAGGTAGATGCCAAGATCTAATTCCTTTTCCTTATGTAAGTTAATGAGAGTATCACCATTTGAGTCACTTGCATTATGTTTTGTGAAGCCATCAAAATTATAATTACACATTAAAATTAGTTAAATATATACTAGCCATTGTTATGATGGTGATTTTGACACACATGGTTTGAAAAGCCTGATTTGTTGCTTTTTTAGAACATTAGAATATAATTAGTCCTTTTTAACATTAGCTAGAGGACCTCAGAGAGCTATCATTTATGGCTTTCAATATGACAATCATGTTTTTAAGAACTTCCTTTGACACAATAAAACTCTGAAGAAAAACTAATAATTGCAAGCAAACAATCGAGAAGAATCTGATCTATAAGAAAACAGCAGCAGCCAGTGACTCACCCTCCCCAACATGAAGCACGGCGTGTGCAAGTTGCTGATACCACACTGCAGTGTAGCACAAGATCATTCAGTACCCTCCTCCACCGCACACACACTCGAGACACAAAATGCCCAACAGAAACAGTGAGTGGAGAGGAATTTCAATGATAACCATACTTTAAAGAGACTGTGGGATGAGGTTAGAATCACATCAAGTCATACGGCTATCTCTTGATGTCTTTTCCCATACTTGGCCTTAAACTGTGCTTATCCACTGTGGTTATGCACTCAGAATAAACAGATAACCACTGAGGAAGGATCTAACAGCACCTTACCAGAATCTGTCTTTTGATGTACAAATGTTGTCTATACCAATGATTATAAAGAAATAATAAAATCATTTTCAGCAAAAGAATGGTAGAGTCACAATTAATAAAGAGAAATCCTACACAGCAAACTAGATCCCATGGGAGAAGGGCTCACCTACGCAAAATGTGCTTTAGTATGGATGTATGCAAGATCATACCTCTAAGGGATTGCACTGCGTAATGTATTGCCCTTGTAAAACGGACCGTAGTATTTTGGATAGAAATTCTTTGGAAAGGACTTATGAATACTACAAAGAACTGCACATGAGCGACAGTTGTAGTCAGTTAGAAACAGGAATTCCATTTGGCAGAATCTGGCGTTTGATATTCATTCCTACTCCAAAGCAGAGCACAATCTTGATCTGGACGAGGATTTTACAAGAATGCTACTCCTTTTCAAAATAGGCATCTGGTAATTAGGAAGACCAGTAACAAATCCCAATTAAAGTGACGCCTTTATCTAGTTCAACCTAGGTCTTGAACTAACATTTGTGATATGGCAAGTGAGCACCTCACCACAGAATCAATTTCTCTCCTAGTTCCCATGAATATATTAATCAGTAATACAAAGCAGCACTGAGCCAACAAAGAAATCAACTCTATAGGCCAGAAGCATGATATTCTCTTAGGACATGTAGGTTCATGTTCAAAATGTTTGCCAAGCTGAACGTCTCAGCTATTCACCTAAACAGCATTTTGTGTGTGCAAGATGTCCCTTGCTTTGATCAGAAATTCTATCCTATCCCTGGAAAAGTTTTTTCCACTAATGTTGTTTCTGATCAGAAAGCAAATGTTTAGTCAAGAGCCATGTGATGAGCTCAACTTATAGAATGGCCATGGCTAAAACAGCAGATATGATCTTTGAATATGCACAGAAAAGGAATATTAAGTAGAAATACAGGTGAAGAAACTAGCATTCTAAATGGCATTCATGACAAAATTACTGGAATAATGTGTCTTTGCCTGGAGTCCACACCTGATAAGAAGGAAAACAAGCTGGAAAATTTTCAGAAATGATAATCCAAATCTGAAAAATAAGTCTACAAATAATAGACTTGCAATCTATTATACTTATCAAAAGAAGCTTAAAAATGACCTTGTTCATGATCCTATACTAAATTAGTGTTTTTAACTGTAATCAAAAGAATCCAGCCAAGCGATTATACGCAAATAGTTCTGGGCATAAGTGTGATCTATAAGCTCAATTTTGCTGTACTGAGGTCAGCATTTCCACTGCGGGATGTCTAGGAGACTCCTCAACTGTTCAAAAAGTGAAAAGTGGTGATTCAGTAGAAAATGCCTTAACGAGATCTAGTGGATGGAAGTGGAAGATAAACAACTTCCACAAGAAACATTTTGTTTTCCAGTAAATGGAGTTATATGGAATGGAGATTATGATACTTTACCAACAGCAATCTTTCAACAAAGATTGAAATTCTTCTATGGGCTATACTATGGGCTGTGGTTCATTCAGAAGTTGCAGACTGGGTACTGAGACCACACACTGAAATTCTGTGGGCTGTGCCTATGATTTCAGGTAGATACGGAAAACTCTGGCTTTACTGAAGATAACTACAGCTTTCCTATTGACATCAACACTCAGGATTTCATGTTGTGACTTTGCAAATGCTGAACCTAACAGTGCTGAAATGTGATCAAGGAGCACTGTAATCCCCTAAGAATCAGTGGGACTGGTCAGAGATGTTGATTCAATGTTGTGGTGGTGGAGTATGTCATGTGTTCATCATAATAGATCTCAAACCTCTCGATCTTAATCCACATTTGTATCACTTCTTGCACATGAACTGAACAAAAGATGATTGGACTAAGGCTGTGAATAACCTCCTCATAAAACCTTACCATAGGGCTGTTTACTGAGATGCTTTCCAGTCTATTACTAAGGTAAGTTTGGGTCACTGCTACCCCCCCAATGCTGTAGCAGCTGCACGTTTTAGAGCAGAGGGCTGGAAATGCCTGAGTCACTGAAGACCAGAGAGCTCGGTCGTGTCTCTACCTCCCAATGTCCCTCTCCCCGGCACCTGCTCCCTCCTGTACCTTGAGGTCCTGCTCCATGCTGCGCAAGAGCTCCCCGTCAATCTCCCCGGTCTGCGCGTAGCGGAGCCTCTTGCGCTCCGCCTTGCGCAGCCGGTACTGGAGGATTCGGCAATTTTTGTTGGCTCGCTCCAGCTCGTGGCGCATTTCTTGCAGCTGACAAGCATCCTCCTCGAAGAACGTGTCCCTCATCTCGTCCATCTCGGTCCTCAGTTCATCGATCTCATTCTGACACCGGGGCAAGTAAAAACGGGACGCAACAGGTGGGTCGAAAAACAACAAAAAAAGAAAACATCAGAGAAGCCAAGCACAGGGGAAAGAGACCAAAACAGAGCTGGAGGACAGGCTCTCCTCCCCACGAGGACACCAGGTAATTATGGCAGGGCTTAGCATATGGAGGGGGAAAAGCACCGCTGTCTGCACACCCCACGGCAGGGCCATCTTGCGCCTCCCTCACGGCCCGTGCTGGGGAAGGGGGCGAGAGCGAAGCGCCCCCTCACTGCAGTGGGGAAACACCCAGCTTGCCCGGGTCCTGCAGCCCTCACCCCCCAACCCTCCTGGCCCGGGCCCCTGGGGACGCCGCAGGAGCCTGCGGGGGCCCCTAGCCCCGCCCAACGGCCCCAACTGCCGCCCCAAAGAACCCAACGGCCCCAACTGCCGCC